ATATATATATATATATATATATGAGTATTTTGGCATCTCTAATTGTTGTTTATAAATTTTGGACCTCTGAAAAGGCTGGAATGTTGGTAGAATTGGCATAATAGGCTTTAATACGATTCTGTCTAAATCTGAAGAAACCAATTCGTTGGGAAAACAGACTCATTCGTCGGGAGTGTCAAACTCACTCGCTAGGCAAGTGAAGTCATTTGGCTAGGCAAGTGACGCGATGCTGAAAGCAAGTTTTTTGATGGCTTAAGTTGATTTTTATGCATTTGTTGATTATGGAAATGTTGTGTGGTTTGTTTCGGAACACAAAGTGATATAGGAATGAGATGTGTGTGATTATGCTTTATTGAAATCATGATTGAGCATGATTAAACTGAGTTCCACTATACATGAGAAATTTGAGATATGAGTGATCTCACAATATGATAATATAATATAGCATGATCAAATTATGATTGTTGGTTGAGATGAATTGTGAAAATTGAACAACTATATTGAGTTGAGAATGATTGATGTGTTGTGATTTGTATCTTTGTTGGCTTGGGCTACTTTAGTAAGTAGGCGGATCAACAACAATTGTGGTGCTTTGGTAAGTAGGTGGAAATTTATGAAAATATCTTAAAAATTAACTTTTAAATTATGTGAATTGAAAATATGTGGAGTCCAAAAGTTTTTCTTTTTATTTTTGGATTATAAAATTTAAAGTTATTAAAATGGATTAAAATCTATGATCCAACTCGATCCACCATGGGTCGAGCCAGATTGAAATAAACAAAAATTTACAAATTTTGACACAAACCAAAAATGAACCCAATCCACTAAAAATCTGACTCACCAACTCACCCATAAATTCTAAATATAAAATTATATTAAAAAAAGAAAGCCCTAAATGCTCTACTATCTTTAAATGTATTTCGATTGTATTGTATTTTTTATATTTTGGATTGTATTTAAAATTTAACATCATTTTATATTCTATTTGGATTGAATTTTATTTAGATTTCAATTATAAAAATTTGTAATTTTTTTTTGGATTGAAGATAAAAAAATGTAATTATGTGGGTCAACTTATTTAACTTACCAACTAGTAATGGATCGGATCATATTCGAAACTTCAACCTATGGTAGACCAGACTGACTTGACGGAATGACCCTATTTAACAACTCTAATAAAATTTGAAAGTTTATTTTTTATAAAAATAAATAAATTATACAATTTAAAAATCCTTTTCAACTTTTGAAGTGTTTTTTTTTACTTTTAGATTATGCAGTTTAAAAAATATTTTTTTATGAGAAAACCTTTCAAGAAGTGTCTTTCAAATTCAAAAGTCATTTTTTTTTATTTTTGAGTCATATATTTGAAAATTTTCTTCTAAATTGTACCATCCAACTTCTTATGCAAAAATAATTTTTAAATTGTTCAATAAAAAACATATTTTTTTCTTAATCCACATACAAATTAGGATAATAACAAGGACAAGAGACAATAATAACAAGGAAGTGGCAATGACAAGGTAATGTCCAAAATGTGGGCCCCAAATGCACCAATCAAGCCCAATTACATAGAAAGTATGGGTTCACATATGAAGTATGGACTATGATGGGAGTTGTTCTCTCCACCACCACAAGTATTCCCTACACCTTCATACTATTTTTATTATTCCAAAAATATCCTACATTAATTTAATTTAATTTATCTTTTTTAAAATCCTAAATCTTTCTACACCCCCTCACCTGTCACGTCAGCTTTTTCTTCTACATAGAAGTCCTAATTCCATCACCACCAACCTTGCCTCCGTTGTGACCAACCTTGTCGCCGCCAAACCCTATCTCCACCATCATCAACCTCGCCGTCAGTCGCGAGCCTTCATGGCCACCACCATCAGAACCGCAAATCACCGTCATCTTCAACCATCACCGCGAATCCTCCATTGACGCCGGTAAACCCTAGCGTCGCCACCATCCTCACCGCCAGTCGTCAACGAGTTGCCTCCGCCATTAACGCACCAACGCCTCTCCATGAGCTACTCGCACCAGGCCGCACCACGAGAACCACTTTGCATCGTCGTCGCACCATCTACAGCGACAAGATCATATTCTTCACTAGAAACCTCCATTGCGAAACCTTCACCAACCTAAATCGCTCCGCTGCGCGACTGTCTTCTTCTCCATGATCTCCTCTCTCGCATCTTCATCTTCAACCTTGCACTCAGAAAAACCAGCCCAAGAACCCTAAATCAAACCTAGAATAGAACCCTAAAAACCCAATGTCGCCGCTGCGACTCGCAAGACCTGCAAGAAGAAACCAGAGCAAACCCAAAACCCAATCGCTCCCGTGATGGTCAAGATTGCAAGAGGAAGGTCGGGGTCGGGATGTCGTTTTTGCCGTTGAGGAGTGTCCCCGGCACCAAAAAGTCTCCGAAATTAAGAGGGTCGTCGGAGAAAGAGGAGCAACCACTAAAATTTTCTCTGATGCTGATGAAGAAGGAGATTGAGGAGGATTTCATGAATTTGAGGAAGAGACCCTTTTTCCTGGTTAGTGATTGTCGGAGGTTAGTGTTGATTGCTAAAGGTTCCTGATGAAGCTGAGACTGGCAAGGCATGCACAATTCTTTTACAAAGTTTTCATTTTGATGTTGGCTGCGGAAGATGCATATAAAGCTTTGATGGGGAGTTTCATGGATGGATGGAATTGGTGGTGTTTCCTAGGTAGTTGGTGGTGTATCTTCATGTACTTTGATTTTCCAGGTGTATCCTTCATTAGTAAACGGATGTCGACATCCGATTGCTCATTGATATCCGTGCATGAATGTTTAAGAATCTAAATCGAACGTATATGTTGAAAGGTAAAATAAGAATTGGGAGATAGAAAAGTCGTGTATGATGGTGGAGGGAGTAACTCTCGACTACGATTAGGGAGAAAAGGAGTATGCTCATTCTAATCCAGTCCAATTCTTTTTATAGCAATATATCTATAATAATAAAATTATCATTCATATTCTGAAATATTAATTAAGAATTCTGAATAGTATTTATTTTACGTAGTTTCATAATATAGATCGTTATATTTACTATTTTAGAAATGGTCACAAATAAAAATAACTTACTAATTTTAAAAGATTTTAATTTTTTTCATAGACATAGTCCACACAATATTTCAAAGCTAATAATAATAATAATCAAAGACTAGTTTGTGTTCGGGAAGTGGGTTTCATCAGTCAAACATTATTTTAATAATGTAGAAATCGATCTGGGAACCAGTAGGTCAACCCCAACATCCCAAGATAATCCTTCAACTAATAGTTAACCAAGTTTGATTATTCCAAAATTTGATTTTATTTTTAAATAACCCTAGTACGAAAGAGATTTATTTATATAAATTATTTTGAACATTATACAATTGATGTAAATTCCACTTATATAGAAACTAAAATTTTCAGAATAGCTCGTAATCATTGTAAGAAATCCCATCCCATTAAAAATATTAGTTACTTAAATCCAGTGTTAAGATGAAAATGCCGAGGAAATAATGATGACAATGACAGCAATGTAACAAACATTGTGCGACGCAGACGAGGGAATTTTAATCTTTTCACTATGGTGCAATTAGTAATCAGAAAGTTTCTTCTTGCACCTCCTTTTTTTTTCTTCCTCACCCTCATAAATCCTAAAATTCCAATTTTTCTCTTTATTGAAATGTATTAAAAACTCTAATTTGATAGGTGTACATATATTCCATAAAAATATATATTCCAAAATATTTCTCAATCCGAAAATATATTGTAAAATACATTAAAAATAGAAAGTCAAATGTAACTTTTATCTTTTTATTATAATTTTAATAAAAACTAATTTCAAGTTAGTTTTATGGGAGTGCAGAAAAAAAATGGAGATACATGAAGAAATAGCCCTATAATTATCATAACTGTGGACGAAGAATTTAAGGTGTTTATGGTGCAATATAATGTTGGTACTTCTTACTTCATGCATTGTGTCTTGTAATCATAAGGAAAATAGTAAGAGTTTTTTTGAATTCTCAACTAGTTATGTGAGACCCTTTTGTGCAAATGTTGTCATGAATTCGACTATGATCCTATTAGTTAATATTCTTTTTCTTGTGAAACTTCTTATTCAACATAAGAGAGGTTTTGCTAAAACTTTGGATCAACGTCATTAAGAGCTAACACGATAATATTCTTGGACATATTCCAGTTTCTTTTAAATTATAAAAGTTATTAATCACAGGATTATGATTATGCAGAGATCAAACAAAACCATATACATGTAAGGCAGCAGCACATAGAGGCAGAGACATGACAGAGAGGTAGAGACAACACAGAGAGGGGGGAGGCAAAGAGAGAAAGCTCGAACACAATAATCGAATCATTACTTACCTCGACGGTCGGTATGGCAGTGAACAAGACAGGCTCCTCGACAGTATACAGCAACAACGACAAGGGTCAGAGCAGGGTCACCGTTGGAACTCTCCTTTGTCAACAGAGTCACGGTGGCAGCAGTCACGCGTCACGGTAGGGCTAGGGCAGAGTCACCGTGGGTTTTCGTTGGAGCTCATTCGACGACAACGGTGGGCAGCGATTGCATCACGGCAGGATCACTGTGAGTGAGTTTTCGTTGGAGCTCTCCTTTGCCAACAAGATCATGGTGGGCAACGCCGCATCAGCTAGGGGAGGGTTAGTTCTCCTATAGTTAACTGAACTAAAAATGTGATACGTTGAGTTTTAAAAACTAAACTAAAAAACAGTATATTTAACTTTCTAATAAAAATGGATTAGTTTTTTTTAGTATTATACGGTACAATTAACTATAGTTATATTAGTTTTTTTTCCAGCTCTAATCTATAATAATAGGATTTTGTACATCACCCTATTACAAGATGGCTTTTGTTAGGCAATACATATTGAATCACTCAGCATAACTATTCTATTTTTCTTCCAAGTGTCCTAATAATTCTTTGTTGAAGGTGAACTGTTAGATATTATAGTAACGAGTAACTTTATAATTGCCAATGGTCATTTGAAGAATATTGTATTTTCACTTTTAATCACAGAAAGACCACCTTTACAAGTACTTAATGATGAAGCTATTCATAGGAAAGATCCTAGGAATTTCTTCTTGCCTCAGGTTGGTGTATATTTCAATTCCTAAGGTCAAAAGGCTAGATACTAAAAATTAGGTCTTGTGCATTCAAGGAACATAAAGCTTACCTATTTTGGAAGAACCTCTTTGTGTGCCTTAAATGAGAGAATGACATCCAAGCCAAAGCAATAACATTAGCAGCAAGGACCTGAAATTATGTCCATTTACTTTAAACTCAACAATAACATTAAATAAAATGGAGAAACAAATATAAGAACATTGAAGAATACATTAGGAGTACTATCAACATCAAATACAATCTGGTAGGGTAAGTTGAAAAATATCCATCTGAAATGTCAGCAAGCATAACCAAAGATAGTTCCATTCTACTGATTTTAGGCATTTGAGAACTTCTCAATGTAATTAAAGATCAACTGTGAGTAAAGAGTATATGCGTGTGAATGTAAATGTTTGCTTTACATAAAAAAAATGGAACAATGAACTGCAAACAACTGGGTAGCCTTGTCAACCGACTAAGAAAGCCAAACGGCACCCCATTTTCGTATGATATAATACTTGAAAGCAAGGGACCAAAAAGATGCATCCCAGAGATCCAAACATGTTGCAAGATGAAGATGGAAATGTTAATAAAAAGTTCCTTTATTATGTTCATTTTTCCGTTGCTTTTCAGCTAAAAAAGGATTAAAAGGTAGTATGAGAGAGTATCTATTGAAAGATCAATAGAAAATTCTTTTTTCAAGAACTATGAATTTCCACGAGGAGCAATCGACTAAATAAAATCCTAGTTCGTTTAAATGAATTTCAAGAAAGAAAATTAAGCATTGGTGAAGTCAAATTAGACATTGATCTTCAATATTAAAATGCCAACATGTATCAGAGTGGTGAATAGATTTATGTTGAAGTAAAATCCCCAGTGTGTGTGCATGAGTCTACCAGTCTAACCTGAAATTGTTGTGTTGAGAAATTGAAAAGGTATCCACAACTTCCAGTTTGCTTGAACTGTAGAGAACCACTCCTACAAAATGAAATTGGTAGATGAATATACACTAATAAACATGACAACATTGATAACCACTCTTTGAATACGTTTTAACAAAAGCGAGTAACTTAAACACACCTGTTTTAGCTTGGGTTACAGCTTGTGATGGATTTCCCTCAAGTGTCACCAATGTAGGTAAAAAAATCTCCAATGAATATGGGAGAAAATAAGAACTACGAAAATATTTCATAACATTCAAAATTAAACTATCACACAGAAGCACAAAATTAATTAATAATGACACAATGTGGCGACAGGGAGTGTATTGGAGGACCAATAGAAATATCTTAGTACAAGCAGGAAAAATGCATCTGATGCTCACCAATTTACTCAAGATACAAATACCTAAAAAAAATGTCAGGAAGAGCAATGGAATGAGACAGACTTGACAAATCGTTCAGCCTTCATCCAAACTCATGTGACCATGGCAGAAAATTTCCTAAAGATAGAGCCCACAAATATTAGAAATCAATCTTCATGATTCTTCTAATAATATTCATTAGGTAATGAATAAATATTATCAACATTATTAAGAAAACCTAAACCAAGGACCTAACAACATATTGCTCTTATTGCTACTGTTGTTGGGTTGTGTCATTATATTATGTAAAATACGGTCACAAATTCATACTTATTAGGCTATACAAAGAGTTTACTTTCAGAGATACCAACATAGGTTTTAGGGAATTACCAAAAATATAATGTTGGACCCATTAAAGCAAAACCGAGAAAAGTAAAGACTAATGTCCTCTTCAAGTCCAGTGACTGCACTTGATCTATTGCATGCTGTAGAAAATAAGATTAAATTTATTAACAAAATTAACATATATGAATGAAAAGCATAGGCACGCAATGCTACAAGAAGTAAATTAAGGATTGACCAAAAAAGTAATCCTTTTAGAATCCATATAAAAAGTAATGACAAATAAAGCTTGATAACATTAGCAATGAGGATAGACCCAAAATGCCAAAGGCAAGAGATAAATTTCAGAAACAAAATTAAAAAAAAAAAAATCAATTTACTTCTAAGACAGGGGCAGAAAGTATGGCGTCAACCAGACCAGTTCTTGTTGATTTCAGAGCATAACATATTGCAACTTGCAAGCATATATCATCTTAAGGACTCTATCAGTCTGTGTGACAGTAGTGTAGTAGTCTGTCAGCTCTGTTAATAAATTTATACCAGTCTTGAGCAAATGACATAGCCGGTCTAACCATGTTTGCTTTTAATTGGAAGGTAAATAGCAGTAACATTGCACTACTTAGACTTCAGATTTCTCTATGCCTACATCTCTTCCATCTCACCCCTTAATAATCTTCTCGGTTTTCATTTTCCATTTGGAGTCGAAAGCAATGAATTAATAAATATTAAGTAAATAGAAGTAATTTCCTATAACAAATACAACAGGAAAGACAACTGAACATCATTAATTTATAATCCTTTAATTCTACAAGTTTGAGTTAGTATAGCAACCAAAGACAACACATGGAGTAAAGATATTGCACGTATTTAACATAAAGGTGCTTATTTGTCAACCATTGTAGTATGTTTCATCTAGCTACCACATGAAAAATCGAAGGAGATCAGTAGAATGCAAATGAAACACTGCTCAAGGAAATAGAAGCCGAAGGCAATGAACTCCAAATCCTGAAACCATTTTCATAATCTCTTCAAATATCCTACATCTGCTACCTTTACACACAGCATCAAGGGGATCTACTCTCCTCACAGTTCTCCAAGAAAGGAATCACCCAATCTCCTTGTCTTTCACCTTCCTCATTCCTTTCACATACTACAACATTACTCTCTTCCTTAGCCTCATCACCAACCAACAATTTTCTGGTTTTCCTACAGCCTAACAGAACAAGATCCAACATATTCCTACGTGCCTCATACACGGGATTCGGTTCAATCAAACCCCCTTTACGATATGCTTCCCTAAGAAAAACAATTAGAGTCTTCCCTTTAGTTGATATGTAAAATATACCAGGGTGCCTTAGCAGCAATTCACGCACATTAACTTCAATACCTAAGTCTCTACGAAAATGAACTAATTGATCAACCTCAACCATTTTCTCCACAGTCAAGCTCAATAGCTCATGAAGAACAGCCACAACCCTCTTCTCATACCGTTCAATCCCACCACATGTCCTCACCCTAACAACCTCCTTCCGTTCATAAGGCTTAGTGTATGAAAGCCTCTGCCAATTCTTCAACCTCTCTCTAAACCCTCTCTCAATCTTAAACCCAGTTGGGAAACCAATGGGAAATGCAAACTTGGTCTCAAACTCACTCAACCACTTCTCTGTGTACTTTCTCACTCCATTGCTCAACTTCAGCCAATCCCAATTCTGCATCCCAGTCAACCAATTCCACAACCTCCAAACCAACCAATTTAAAATCCCCACTGAATTTCCCAAGAATGGAGTCTCTGATATCCTCAGGGAGACCCAGTTCTCTCCTGATCATCCTCAAAGCGTGCAAACGAAGAGTGCCATTCACAGACATCAGCAGCAGCTTCTTCACCCTCTTCACAGCCTCCATCTCCTGCTGCCTCACCACCACCCCTTCAAGCAAGATCAACTCTTTCATCTTTTTCGTGACCCTGCAGCACGTGTTCCTCCTGAAAGGGTGGACAAACACGTGGAACACGTGAGATATTTGTGGAGGAAGGAGCCCACAGGGACATTGAGTCCGAGGATGTTTCTCCAGCGGGACATGAGGGTGAGGGAGACGAAGGGAGCGCGCTTGCGTGTGGACATGAGGTGGTGGATTTCGAGGACAAGGTAGAGTCTTTTGAGGTGAGTCATGAGTTTGTCCAAGTGGGGGTCTCGTACTCTGTCCTCCAAACGGGTTTGGGCGGAAACGGTGGGTTTCTTCCATCGGCGTTGGATGAAGAGGGTAAAGGGTGAGAGGAACCTGTGTTTAGGACTATGCAAGAAATTCATTGCTTGAACTCAGGTTTCGATTCTGATAGAACCAATTACAGTATTTTTGAATAGTTGAAAGAAAAATCACTGTTATTCCTAAAGAGGATCTTAGAACTCTTTCTTGGTAGAATCACACGGAGGCAACACCTTTCTGGTTTTTATGTTTTGTAACCTTCTGCTTCTCATCATCTTCACGCTGGTTATTTTCCTTCGTTCCTTTCAGTCATGGAAGATCATGATACCTAATAGAGGAAAAAGGCTAACAATATCATTAATAATAAAAATGAAGTTTTTAATACTTAATTGAAAATTAATACAATAATCTATTGTATATCATCTTAAAGGAAGAAGAAAGCGGGAAAACAAGGGTGAATCAAAGCTAAAACCCTACTTTCTCTCTGACGGGAACCAAAAATGGCTTCCTTTCCTCCTCCGGGTTCACTCACTCTCTGCGAACTCAATCGTGACCTGAGTAACTCTCTCTCTCTCTCTTACTCACTCTTACTCTCTCACTTCCTATTGCTTTGCTTCTCTAACTGAATTTTTTTTCTGCAGTCACAGTGAACGCTCTGTCCGACGATCAAGCCAACCAAACCTACGGAAAAATCCTGGTAACTAATCGCATCATAGACGTTTCCCAATTCCCTCGATTTTCTTCATTATCACCATTTCCTTTTTCTATATTAGGGATCGGTCTTCAGTCCCGTTCCCTTTCACTCTCTGGAGAGCGAGGCTTCCGATCAAGAAGGAGCAACGACGACGGCGAACGCCGCTGGAGAAAACGTTCAGAGGAAAGGTCCGGTGGCACTCTTGCAAGGGCTCGTGAACACCTATCTCGGACGCCTCTTTTACCCTAACGATGTATGCTGTGCTTGATTCGTCTCACTCTTTGCATTACGGAATGATTTAACGTGGGTTGATAGTGTGGTGTTATATGAATGTTAATTGTTGGGCCAGGTGCATTTGTTGCCGGAGGTTGATCTCCAAGGAGTAAGCTGGCACCCTAATAAGCATATAATTGCTTTCATTTCTTCCCCTACACAAGTTTTGGTTCGTGATTACCAAGAATCTGGTACTTGTTATGATCATGAGACGTGTTATTGGTTGCTTGTTTAGGTATTTTTGGATAAAATTATCGGTAGAAGAAAATAAGAAGATAAAATAAGCACAGGTTATTCCTCCAAGTTAAAATTAGCTTATTCACAAATTAAAATAAGCTTTGATAATCTATACCGTGGATCTTTAGTAATTTGACATGTGGGAGAAGCTTATTTCATTTTATCTTCTTTTTTTCTTCTATAAGTGTTTAATTGAAAAGTTTATCCAAACAAGGTCTTAGTTATTGTAATTTTTGTTTAGTAACTGCTGATTGATACTCTGACATTGTGAATAGAGGGGAAGGATCCGAGCATTTTGGCGAATGAGTCACAGAGAGACGTTAGGGTGCTGGAGTGGAGGCCCAATGGTGGGAAAATGCTTGCTGTGGGTTGCAAGTGAGGTTTTGTCTCTGTGTGGTTGTTATGGTGAATGCAACGTCAATTAGTCTGGAGTATGCTTTCTTGTTTACTGGNGAATGTTAATTGTTGGGCCAGGTGCATTTGTTGCCGGAGGTTGATCTCCAAGGAGTAAGCTGGCACCCTAATAAGCATATAATTGCTTTCATTTCTTCCCCTACACAAGTTTTGGTTCGTGATTACCAAGAATCTGGTACTTGTTATGATCATGAGACGTGTTATTGGTTGCTTGTTTAGGTATTTTTGGATAAAATTATCGGTAGAAGAAAATAAGAAGATAAAATAAGCACAGGTTATTCCTCCAAGTTAAAATTAGCTTATTCACAAATTAAAATAAGCTTTGATAATCTATACCGTGGATCTTTAGTAATTTGACATGTGGGAGAAGCTTATTTCATTTTATCTTTTTTTTTTCTTCTATTAGTGATTAATGGAAAAGTTTATCCAAACAAGGTCTTAGTTATTGTAATTTTTGTTTAGTAACTGCTGATTGATACTCTGACATTGTGAATAGAGGGGAAGGATCCGAGCATTTTGGCGAATGAGTCACAGAGAAACGTTAGGGTGCTGGAATGGAGGCCCAATGGTGGGAAAATGCTTGCTGTGGGTTGCAAGTGAGGTTTTGTCTCTGTGTGGTTGTTATGGTGAATGCAACGTCAATTGTTCTGGAGTATGCTTTTCTTGTTTACTGGAATTGGGTTTACTTTTGCAGGGGTGGAATTTGCATCTGGGCTGCTTCTTATCCTGGAAATGCTACATCTGTTAGATCTGGTGCTGCTTCCTTTTTAGGAAGTTTGTCTAGAAGCTCGGGAAATCGGTATATTCTGGTTGATTTTCTTCGTAGTCCATACGATGAGCATATCAGTGCTCTCACTTGGAGCCCGGATGGAAGATATCCTTATAAATTTTAAAAGTCCTTATTTTTGGGCTCTTTTATGTGTTTCCCAGTGCAAGAAGATATGTATTTTTTTTTTTTTTAAATTGTATGTACTCAACCATACTTTTCTTAACCTATTTTTACATACTTAGCATCTGGTTCATATGAAAGCTCCTCATTCACAGTGTGGGATTTTGCTCAAGGTATGATCAAGATCTTTGCTTCCTTAAGTCTTTTGCACTTTACTTTTAAACATCCGTGCGATATGCCAATACGTTTAAAAATCATTCTGGATTTTTCTGGTTGAGTTGTTCTCCCTAAAAGTACCCTAAATTGCATATGTTTACAGCCTAGACGGATGAAATGAACAAACACATTAACATACGGAAGTTTAAGTGGCCCTGTAAGCCCTATTGAGGCTTGTGGTGTGACTGACCCTGGAATGTACTCCCTTCCCAACTTTTTTGTGCTAAAGAAGAATCAATCAAAGTTCTGTGTCCCTACTTATGTATGCTATGTTGATTCTGAATTCTTAGATTGATAGTTTCGAGCATGGCGGGTGAGGACTGTGTTTATATCTAGATTGGCATTTTGTTGTTCATCAGCAACAGTGACGATGACTTTCTTATCTCACTAGTTGAGGTCCATTACTTATGTCAAATGATGTTGTTGGGCTCAGTTAGAAATCAAAATCTAAGATATATTAGTTACCATTAAATCTCTTTTAACAATTTCCTATCTGTCATGAGTAATTTATGTCCAGGATATCAAAATGTTTTACATTGGCTGTCAAAGGCGTAAAACAACCCTTTACTTGAATTTTGGATTGTCTATGAGACAACAAAAATTTATATTGTCATATAAAAAATCTTAAGCTCTAATGGTTGTCTCTAATTTCTGAATCTCTGGTTACTTTGATATTATATATAGCTGTAGGGACACCCATTCGGCGGGGATTGGGAGGCATATCAATGCTGAAGTGGTCACCTACTGGAGATTACTTCTTTGCTTCAAAATTGTAATGCAAAATGTGAAACATGATTATTTATTGAACATGCACTGTTTATGATTCACACCCTCATCATTATTTTTCTCGTTCAGTGATGGAACATTTTATCTTTGGGAGACAAACACGTGGACATCAGAACAATGGTCATCAGCAAGTGGTTTTGTCAAGGTATATGAAATTTACATTCATGTTTTGGTGCTCAAAGACCTATTTATAGCAAGTGGCATCTAGTCCTTAACCGTCTCCAGTGTGTTGATATGTTTGACAATATGTTGATAGTATAAATAGAATTATCTTCAATAGTATTCAGTGTAAAATTTGAGTTATGCTTAAATGTAAGAGCTATAACATACCTTTTTATTTTAGGGTGATGGGTAATGTTGCTTTCGTAATAAAAGATGAATTTATTATCAAGAAAGAATGTCCATGCTAGGATGATGGAATATCTTGAAGAAACCATAGAAGAGATCAAGGATTAATTAAGTGTTTAAGGAGCTGAATTAATATAGAGGCAAAAAAGAAAATCTTTAATTGCTAATTGCAATCTAACCCTTCTTTGGAGCAAAAAAAGAATTAACATATTTTTCACTGTTTTTGATAACTCCACAAATCAGAAATACCAGTGACTCCCTTCAATAAACCATCAGTAGAACACTGAAAAGCCTTAAACCTAATTGTATGCCAAAAGAAAGTTTAGGGCCATAGTCACACCCATAAACTTGGGAAAATTTTACTTGCACCTCGATTTTTCCCTCTGTTCTATCAAAACGTCTATAATGAGCCATTAAAACAGCTCCTTAATTACAAGTGAGATTGAACATATAATAGACATGTTCCATCATTCATATTCTTGTAGAAGAAAAGCTTTGTATTTTATGTAATACGTACTATTATCACTCATACTTTACCTTCGGTTGAGACTAGGAGTTATTACTGTTCTTATATCTTGAGTGCAACAATATCTATGAAAAAAAGATTCAGTGGTAGAACTTAGCATTTATGTACTATTGAAGTGATCAGCACAGTTTTATTCTTTCATAGCAAATGCTCATTTATTTAGTTTCTACTTTCAATGACATGTTATCAGGGAGCAACATGGGATCCAGATGGGCGCATGATACTTCTTGCATTTTCTGAATCGTCAACTTTGGGATCTGTTCACTTTGCATCAAA